GCAAATACCCGTAACAGGGAGAAATGCCACCATCTTTGATCACTCACATTCTCCAGGTTTGAGGACCACCTCAAGAAACAAGGAATGTCCACACGTTGAGCCTTTCAATGATTTTACTGCAGTAGAAATATAATGAACAGTTCTTTACAATGCAACTTTCACCTCCGCTTCTCCAGACCCTATATAAATATTCCACATAGTGCAAGTCCAACATAAAAATCGGATAACCACCCAACTCTTCCACTGCCATTGCTGAAGGTTGCCAACAGGTGGCTTCTCCAACTGAATCTGCTATGGGCCTACGCCAAAGGATACACTTCTGAAGGCTACAGGCTTACATATCAGTATACCAGGGGTAGTCTTTTCCCATCACCCCCAGGTTCATCTGGCTCAAGATTATATATGACAGACTAGCCCCACCCACTATGTCTGCTCAGGGCAGAGGTTTCCTCAAAAGGGGTACAACCAAATCTGCTACGGGCCTACCCCAAAGGGTTCACTTCTGAAGGCTACAGACTTATATATCAGTATACCAAGGGTTTCCTCTTCCCATCACTCTGCCGCAGGCTCTTCTGGCTCTAGAATATATAAGACAGACTAGCCCCACCTGCTTTGTCTGCCCAGGGGAGGGATTTTCTTAAAAGGGGTACAAACCCCTGCTTGCATTCTCCATTTGGGTGACCCTTATTTTTGTGGGGCCCCACTTATTTTTGAGGTCCCCCATAGGTGGATTCTCCACAACGCAAGTCCCACATAAAAACAGGAAAACCACCCAATTCTTTCATTGTCCTTGCTGCAGGTCCCCCATAGGTAGGTTCTCCAACCAAATCTGCTATGGGCCTAACCCAAAGGGTTCACTTTTAAAGGCTACAGGCTTACATATATACCAGTGTAGCTTTAACCCATCACCCTCTGCCCCAGGCTTTTGTTTATGCAGGACAGACTAGGCCCACCCACTATGCTTGCCCAGGGGAGGCGTTTCCTTAAAAGGGGAACTAAACCCTGCATACATACTCATTTGGGTGACCCTTATCTTTTGTGGGGCCCCACTTATTTTTGAGGTCCTCATAGATTGGTTCTCCACAACGCAAGTCCTACATTAAAATAGGAAAACTACCCAAATCTTCCATTGTCCTGGCTGCAGGTCCCCCATAGGTGGGTTCTCCAACCGAGTCTGCTACAGGCCTACCCTGAAGGGTTCACTTCTGAAGGCTACAGGCTTGCATATCAGTATACCAGCGGTAGTCTTTTCCCATCACCCTCTGTCCCAGGCTCTTCCAGCCCATGATTATTCAGGACAGACTAGGCCTACCCACTATGTCTGCCCAAGAGAGGGGTTTCCTTAAAAGGGGTACTAACCCCTACATACATGCTCATTTTGGTGACCTTTATTTTTGTGGGGCCCCCACTTACTTTGGAGGTTCCCCATAGGTGGGTTCTCCACAAGGCATGTCCAACATAAAAACAGGAAAACCACCCATCTCTTCCATTGTCCTTGCTGCAGGTCCCCCCATAGATGGGTTCTCCAACCGTGTCTGCTACGGGCCTTCCCTGAAGGGTTCATGTCCCCGGAGGCTACAATCTTACATATCAGTATACTGCAAGTCCAACAAAAAAAAACCCGGAAAACCACCCATCTCTTCCATTGTCTCTGCTGTAGGTCCCCCCCATAGATGGGTTCTCCATCCGAGTCTGCTACGGGCCTTCCCTGAAGGGTTCACTTCTGAAGGCTACAGGCTTACATATCCGTATACCAGGGGTAACCTTTTCCCATCACCCTCTACCCCAGGTTCTTCCGACTCAAAATTATATAGGACAGACAAGCCCCACCTACTATGTTCACCCAGAGGAGGGGTCTACCTAAAAGGAGTACTAACGCCTAACGGGTGACCCTTATTCTTGGGGGGCCGCAACTATGTGGAGAGCCAAAGACGCTAAAGCCATTTGGCTCCACTAATGTCTTCATTTCTGTTGGTGGAGGATCCATTTCCAGCACTTCGCCCCAACTTTGTCTTGGTTAAAACCAAGTGGCAGGTTCTTATGTCAAAAAAGGTCTCTTGATGAGTGCGGTGATATAATTTCTTCTCATACTTTGGTGTCACCAGCTATTAACAGTAGATTTATATACCTGAACATTATCCACCAGACTTATTTATGTACACAACCGCAGACGGAAGCGTGCTCAACCACAGACGGAGGCGTGCTCAACCACAGACGGAGGCGTGCTCAACCGTAGACGGAAGCGTGCTCAACCGTAGACGGAAGCGTGCTCAACCGTAGACGGAAGCGTGCTCAACCGTAGACGGAAGCGTGCTCAACCGCAGAAGGTGTACTCAACCACAGACGGAAGCGTACTCAACCGCAGAAGGAGGCGTACTCAACCGCAGGAGGAGGCGTACTCAACCGCAGGAGGAGGCGTACTCAACCGCAGGAGGAGGCGTACTCAACCGCAGGAGGAGGCGTACTCAACCGCAGGAGGAGGCGTACTCAACCGCAGACGGAGGCGTACTCAACCGCAGACGGAGGCGTACTCAACCGCAGACGGAGGCGTACTCAACCGCAGACGGAGGCGTACTCAACCGCAGACGGAAGCGTACTCAACCGCAGACGGAAGCGTACTCAACCGCAGACGGAAGCGTACTCAACCGCAGACGGAAGCGTACTCAACCGCAGACGGAAGCGTACTCAACCGCAGACGGAAGCGTACTCAACCGCAGAAGAAAGCGTACTCAACCGCAGACAGAAGTGTACTCAACCGCAGACAGAAGTGTACTCAACCGCAGACAGAAGTGTACTCAACCGCAGACGGAACTGAACCACAGATGGAAGTGTACGCAACCGTAAACGGAAGCGTACTCAACCGTAGATGGAAGTGTACTCAACCACAGAAGGACTTAGCTCATTTTTCGTGGAGTTGTCCAGTGATATCGGCTTTCTGGAACCAGGTGACCAATTTTTAACAACGTTGCAGCTTCCAATCCCATGTACTCATCCAGCCAAGAGGTCGCGTTCTCCAGGAAAGTGCAATTGCCTATATTGGCTCATAATACTTGTGCTGCCCTGGAGTGTAGTCTGATCTCTCCTGCTCTCAAAGCAGAAATAGTGACACATATTTGACCAATTTGTCCACGTTTCCACAGACCAGGAAGACACAGTGTATTACAAGACATTTTCCATATTTTCAGTTGAAAATACGGAAAAGAAAAATTTAAAGCAAAAAATGGCTGAAAGCTGGAATATGGCAGTCATTGGTGAAGTACAGGGGAAATCAGACTACACTGCTGGATGGACATCAGTGGTGACATGACCCCTTCTCCTCATTCCTAGCAGAGTAAGCGGTCTGCAAACTGCGTCCCGGGGACCAGATGCGGCCCTTTGCTTGCTGTTATCCAGCCTTTGGGGCACTATTTCATTTACCGATACCAATAAAGGGCATAGTTCCTCCCAATGACACCAATGATGGGCCATAGTTCCTCTCAATGACACCAACAAGGGGGCCCAATGGCACTAATGATGCAGCACAATTCCTACCAATGACACCAACAATGGGGCACAGTTTCTCGCAATGACACCAACGACGGGGCACAGTTCCTCCCAATGACGCCAACAATGGGGCCCAGTGACACCAATAATGGGGCACAATTCCTACCAATGACACCAGGGATTGGGCACAGTTCCTCCCAATTATCTCAATGATGGGGCACTATTCCTCCCAATGACATCAACAATGGGGCCCAATGACACCAGTGATGGGGCACAATTCCTCCCAAATATCTCAACGATGAGGCGCAATTCCTCCCAACTGCCTCAACGATGGGGCACTATTCCTCCCATTGACACCAACAATGGGGTCCAATTCCTCCCAATTACCTCAACGATGGGGTACAATTCCTCCCAGTTGCCTCAATGATGGGGCACTATTCCTCCCAATGACACCAACAATGGGGTCCAATGACACCAATGATGGGGCACAATTCCTCCCAATGAAGCCAGTGATGAGGCACCGTTCCTCCCAATTACACCAGTCATGGGACACAATTCCTCCCAATTATCTCAACGATGGGGCGCAATTCCTCCCAATTACACCAGTGATGGGGCACAATTCCTCCCAATTATCTCAACAATGGGGCACAATTCCTCCCAATTACCTCAACGATGGGGCACTATTCCTCCCAATGACACCAACAATGGGGCCCAATGACGGAGCACAATTCCTCCCAATGAAGTCAGTGATAAGGCACAGTTCCTCCCAATTACACCAGTCATGGGGTACAATTCCTCCCAATTATCTCAACGATGTGGCACTATTCCTCCCAATGACACCAACAATAGGGTCCAATTCCTCCCAATTACCTCAACAATGGGGCACTATTCCTCCCAATGACACCAACAATGGGGTCCAATTACACCAATGATGAGGCACAATTCTTTCCAATGACACCAAGGATGGGGCATTGTTTACTCCAACTGATGCTGGGACATTTTCTACTCCTGATGGTCACAGTGTGGCCCCTCTAGCGTCTTTAGGACAGTAAACTGGCCCTTTGTTTAAAAAGTTTGGAGATCGCTGCTCTACCTCACTCCATAGCTAGGGTATGCTGGGCATAGTTAGCTCCGCCCTTCTTATTCATGCTTTAGCCTCCATTTATCACATGTACTGTATTCCGCTGGAGCTAGGCACTCTATGATTTTTATGACCTATATGATGTTTATCTTGCTATGATCTGCACAAGTTTTGGATTAAAGCTTTTTATGATCTGCAAGATGTCATTTGGATTGAGTCACTGGCTGCCAGGCTACTGAGACTGTAGGTTAAAGCTCTCTCACCACAACTGGATCAGTCATAGAGATGACACTTTCAGTGCTTAGATGGGGAGGCAAAACAGTAAGCCATAATAAACTTTGCAAAGTTCGATTTCAATAAAGAGCGAGTAGGGGACTCCCACAATCAAAGTGCTAGTGTGTTATTCACGTAGAAAACATTTCCCACACTTGGAACACTATTCTTTCTGGGCCGCGTGTGACCTCAGATGTCTGGTGAGATCAAAACTTTTTGAAAAGCATTTCCTGCACTCGGGGCATGAGTACGGCTTCTCCCCCGTGTGAGACCTTTTATGTACGGTGAGGTCCGTTTTATACACATAACTCTTCCCGCACGCAGGACAGGAATACGGCTTTTCACCCGTATGGTATCTTTGATGATCCGACAGGTAGGACTTCCGTGAAAAACGTTTCCCGCAATGGGAACAGGAAAAGGGCTTCTCCCCCGTGTGAATCCTGTGATGTCTTTCAAGATCCGGTTTACGCACAAAACTTTTCCCGCAATCGGGGCAGGAAAACGGCTTCTCTCCTGTGTGGTGTCTCAGGTGACTCGAAAGATGGGCCCTTTGTGAGAAGCTTTTCCCGCACTTAGGGCAGGAAAACGGCTTTTCACCCGTGTGAGTCCTCTGATGTATGGAAAGAGCCCCTTTCTTTTCGAACCTTTTCCCGCACTGAGGACAAGGGTGCATCTTCTCAGCCTTGTGGATTTTCTGGTGCTCAACGAGGTCCGCTTCGTGTAGAAAAAACGACTCCGCAATCTGAACAGATCTGAAGCTCATTATCGTGAGATTTCTTGTGCGCAGCAAGGCCGTGTGTACTTTTAAAGCTTTTCCCGCACTTCAGGCATATGTACGACTTGCTGTACGGCCTCTTCAGTGTGCTATGCGCACTGTGCGGCGCCGGATGGGTATCTGAGGAACTGGATTTGTCTCCTGGATGGGTGAAGTCCTCATCTTCTAACTCATAGTCTGGAGAAAAACTGAGGCCATCCTCGGAGGTCGTCCTGATCTCCCGGCCATGGACTAAAAAGAAAAAAAGAATGAAAAGATGATTGCTAGACATGGGCAGGTTGATTCACACCACCAGCACAGATGTAACGTCGTGTGGAGGCCCTGTTCAGGGGAGGAGCATTCCTGCACCCAGGAAGAGCCTGCTGTAGACATTATGACCTGGAGTTGAGGATTTGGGTGGCTTGCAAAAGGCCCTTTAGGCCAGGCTAAGAGCTGCCTGACTGAAGCTATTCCCATAGACTTTCTAGTCATGGGAGAAGTGTACCTATGGAGGAGGTGTCTACAGAGAACCCAGTTCTGCCAGTACTAATGCCCCATGGGGGAAGGAGAGACTGTTAGAGGGAGATGGCTGCTCAAGTTCTGCTCATGCTTTCACGTGTGACTGCTGCGTGTCGTACAATAAATGCGATCAACTTTGTAATGTCAAGTATGTTGATGTGACATAGTTAGTTTGGTTGCAAAAAAGATGCAAGTCCATGCAGTTCAACCCACAGAGATGGGACTGTTATGACATCCATCAGTAAAGTGCAGCAAAACCTACTCATATGTCTGGACTGAAGTATAAAGATCGGGAGTCCTGGATTAAGGAACTCAAATATAATTATTGTAGGTACCTAGGGAGGGCGCTACAAGTAAACCAGATTCCACATTTATTCGGTTTCTTTCTTCTCAAAGGTGACCTACACCCTTGATGTTGTATTAAATGATGCCTCTAATGAGAGAGCCAGGATGGCGGCCATTGTTGTCAGGCTAGAGGCCACCAGAGGCCTGGCTGTACTTTGGATCAATGAACTGGAATCAAGTATGAAGCTCTGGAGTCCTGGATTAAGGAACTCAAATATAATAATTGTAGGTACCTAGGGAGGGCGCTACAAGTAAACCAGATTCCACATTTCTTCGGTTTCTCTCTTCTCAAAGTTGACCTACACCCTTGACGTTGCATTAAATGACGCCTCTAATGGAGAGAACCAGGATGGCGGCCATTGTTGTCTGGCTAGAGGCCACCAGAGGCCTGGCTGTCAAGCTAACCTTGTGGCTTTAGTACTTTGGGTCAATGAACTGGAATCAAGTATGAAGCTCCAGAGCCCTGGATTAAGGAACGCCAATATAATAATTGTAGGTACCTTGTGTTTTATTTGCTGATAGTCTTTAGCAACTTCTACCGTAACTGTAGGGCATGCACGTTTCATCTTGGTTGGGCTTCTTGCACCCTCACTCTCTGACCTTCGGTGGGACACATTGACCAAATAAAGAAATGCAGTACTTGCATACTTCAGTTACGGTAGAAGTTACGAAAGACTATCAGCAGATAAAATACAAGGTACCTACAATTATTATATTGGAGTTCCTTAATCCAGGGCTCCGGAGCTTCATACTTGATTCCAGTTCATTGACCCAAAGTACTAAAGCCACAAAGTTAGCCTGAAAGCCATGCCTCTGGTGGCCTCTACAACCAGACAACAATGGCCGCCACCCTGGATCTCTTCATTAGAGGCGTCATTTAATACAATGTCAAGGGTGTAGGTCAACTTTGAGAAGAGAGAAACCGAAGAAATGTGGAATCTGGTTTACTTGTAGCGCCCCTCCCTAGGTACCTACAGTTATTATATTTGAGTTCCTTAATCCAGGGCTCCAGAGCTTCATACTTGATTCCAGTTCATTTACCCAAACTACAGCCAGGCCTCTAGGCAGACAACAGTGGTCGCCATCCTGGATCTCTCCATTAGAGGCGTCATTTAATACGTCAAGGGTGTAGGTAAACTTTGAGAAGACAGAAACCAAATAAATGCAGAATCTGGTTTACTTGTAGCATCCCCCCAAGTTAGGTGGCTAGGCTACATTTAGTTTTTGGGTTCACTGCAGTCAACAGAGCAGTACTCCATTGTTTTTTTGTGGTCAGATATTCCTAGGTGGGTATTTGGTTTCTCTCACCTGCTTCTGGGGGAAGCTTCTAGAATACAGGACAGGCAGAGTCTAATGTCCGGTACGAATATTTATCAAACCCCAGCATCTCCCTGGAAGGGGGCATCCAGAAGGTGGCTGGGGAGGTGATAAATGCTTGGAAGGTCTTTCCAGTGTTTTCTTTTCTTTCCAGGAAGGGTTCCAGATCTCCTGTCCTGGAAAAAAGAATTGCAGTCTGGGCCTCAGCAGGTGCCGGTTTGAGGGATTGATAAGGGATTATTACTGGGGGACATCATACTGAAGTCGGGGTCTGGAGAAGGATCCTTTATCTCCTTCACGGAGGATCTACCTGTGTGTGGTACCCATTAGGTGATGCTAGTTTAGGGTAAATTTATTTTTGGCTCATGGTAGTGAGTTCACCTGAATTTCTGTGGGTTCAGTGTGAGGTCAGGCTGGATGACTCAACAGGTTGGAACTCTATTGCCTCCACCTGGTTCTGGAGGTCCATGGAAGCTTCCAGAAGCCAGTAGGCAGAAAGGTGGAGACCTCAATCTGCATATTCAAGGGGGTCTGACCAATCTCAAGCTAAGAGGCCTTGGTAATGTGTGGTATGCTCGCCCATAAATATGAGAGTCATGCTAGCAGGGGAGTCCAGTGGAAGATGGATTGCTGAGATGTGTTGCTATGTGGCCTGGGAGGGAGCCCTGATTTGGGAACTGTAGTATGTGTCTGCTCCTCTAAGAATTTTCTGCTCTAGGTTTGTCCTCCCATTGATTTCCAATATGGTTTTGGAGTGTCCTATGACCCTAAACCCCTCTCCATGTTCTTCAGCAATAAGTAGTAGAAAAGACATCCCTTAGATGGAGCCATTATTATTGGCGAGACTGTGCTTGTGACTGGCAGCCTCTGGCAAGGGGGACCTGGGTATATTCTCAGGGGCCCCTTTGGGAGTGAGCGTTACATACTTTATCTGTTCTACCGCAACAAGGAATGAAAAATGACATTTTGCTGCCAGCTGAACCCCAGAATCTTCATAGATACATAGTGTCTTCAGCACAGAGAATGAGATTTATCTGAGAGAAAGAAGATCTAATGTGCAGGATAGGGAACATGGTTCAGGAAAGTGACCAGGGTATTGCAGGCTGATATCCCCCCGCCCCCCCACCCTACTCTGGACCAATCAGTGAGCAGTATGGGTGGAGGAATGGATTTAATGTTCATGACCCACCTGTGCTGATTTCTGTAGGAGTGTCCTCCTCTATAAATGTCCCCGTTATTCCATCCTCCTCCATAGACTGCTGATCATCCCTCACATACGCCTCTTCTTCTTCTGATTTCACCTCAACTTTTTATATCTATCAGATCTTCACCCTAAACCAAGAGAAGGAGAAAAAATATCATCTGTAATGATGGGACATCACATAGACAAATATCATCTTGAAGGGTCTGTCTCCTTGTTCATGTTTTAGATGCTCCATCCCACCAACCTGATAATGTTGTGCATAATTGTGATCTTCCTGTGTGGAGTCCCAATAATACAAAGGATGGGGACCTCTTTCTTGGGGGTTTCCATAGCTGGGTGACTCCACCATGGTGTCCTGGTATAGATCTTTTAGGAACTCTGACTCCTCCATCACCTCATCCTCATCATCCTCCTCTTTTATCTCTTCTTTAATAACAACTTTAAAATCACTCAGGTATCCACCCTGAATATATAATAAAAAATGACATCAATGGTAACAATGCAGATAATGTACAGATCCTAATGATACTATCAGTGATTGTTCCTCATCTACCTGATGATGGTGAGGGATGGTGTGACCTTCCTGTGTGGAATCCCGGGAATACAGAGGGATGGGGACATCTCTCTGGTGGGTTCCTGGTATTAGGTGGCTCCATTATATCCTTGTGTACTGAAATATCTTCCATCACTCCATACTCTTCATCCTCCTCTGTAAACTCTTCTTTAACAATAATATTATATTGCCCGAGGATTCCACTCTGAATATATAATAAAACTTTTATTGTAACAAACATGCTGTGTATAAATCATATCTACCAAGAATTGTTCCTCGCCTACCTCATTATGGTGAGGGATGGTGTGACCTTCCTGTGTGGAATCCCAGGAATACAGAGGACGGGGACATCTCTCTGGTGGGTTCACATGACTGCATTCATCTACCTGATGGTGAGGGATGGTGTGTGACCTTCCTGTGTGGAATCCCGGGAATACAGAGGACGGGGACATCTCTCTGGTGGGCTCCCATGACTGGATCCCTCTACCTGATGATGGTGAGGGATGGTGTGACCTTCCTGTGTGGAATCCCGGGAATACAGAGGACGGGGACATCTCTCTCTGGTGGGCTCCCATGACTGGGTCCATCTACCTGATGATGGTGAGGGATGGTGAGACCTTCCTGTGTGGAATCCCAGGAATACAGAGGACGGGGACATCTCTCTGGTGGGTTCCCATGACTGGATCCATCTGTAGGAAACACACACACTGACTGAATCCATTGTTTCTATGTGTTTATCAGATGATGGGGGATCTAGGTGGATCCTCCGTACTGCTCTCTCCTTTCCAATAAAGTCTCCTCTTACCCGGTGATGTGAGGGGCGGCTGATTGTCCATCATGACGTCCTTGTAGAGGTCCTTGTGTCCTTCTAAATACTCCCACTCCTCCATGGAGAAATAGACAGTGACACCCTGACACCTTATAGGAACCTGACACACACAATGATACAGTCACCATCCAGACACATCCCTTGTCTGTTACTGGAGAATGTCCCAGAATTCCTGGCACCGCTCACCTCTCCTGTCAGCAGCTCCATCATCTTCTTGGTGACTTCTAGAATCTTCTCCATGT